TATATATATATATATAGACTAGTCGGTGGGGGATGGTAAGTTGGAGCGGTAGTGGATGGTCTTGGGTTTAGGATTGGGTCTCCTAAATTTCTTTTGGGTTATATATATGTTAGGCTAGGCGGTGGTTAGTGGGTTGGTGTCTGTTTGTCTTATCTCACTCCCATTCTCATGTAAATGTAAATCACTTCCAATTCTCTATGAATATGAGATAACTTTTGGTTGCCTTTGCAAGTTTTTTGGTAAATTACACTAAATGAAAGTCATCAACTGTATGAACTGATTCAGACAAAATTTAATATCAGTAACTTGTTTCTGCAGTCATACCACACCAAACAATATCCACAGTCATGTTCCCCTGAATTTTGTTTGTAATTCACTTTAGCCTTACTGCATAATTTTGTTTGTAAGAAAAGCAAATCAAGCAGATACAAAAAATGTAAACTTTGACCATGAAAAATTGAGCAGCCTCCAGAAGTATCAAATTGTCTTTTACAGTTGAACTTGAGTTGATCAGAGTGTTCTGCCTCCACCTCAGTTTCTGGAGCAGTAGCAGAATGTTCTGCCTCCACATCATCAAATAATTCCAATTCTGAGCTTGTGGGTTCTGCCCTCTGAGTCTCTTGCTGCTTTTTTGCCAAGGCAATGCTTTCTGCTATCACCTCAGCGGGAATCTCCTCCTACAGATGGACAGAAGTCAGAATAGAATAACAAACACAAAGTAGAACTGGTTAAGTAGTTGAAGAAAGAGACTCACCTCTTCCTCCACTTCTTTAGTTTTCTCTTAAGGTCCTTCCACGACCCCTTTCTCCTGCTCTACAGCTTCAAAAGCCTCTCTTAACTCCTTATCAGTTCCAGAAGTGGTTGTAGGAGCTGCTGTAGATTATGTGGCCACATATTCCACCACAGTCCTCTTCCTAAGTCTTTTTGACCTAGTAGGAGGAGGGGGAGGACTTTCAACTGCAAAGAACAGAAGATGGAGGGTTAGGATGATTGGAGTGAACAGAACATAATCAAAAAGTTCAAATTCTCGAGTTTTTACCTGAGGTTTCAGGCTGGACAGCATTGTCCAGAGCAGGAGCAGCCTCCTTTCTCTTGTTCCTTCTAGCAAAAGGAGTTGCCTCAACAGCTGGCTGTTCTGCCAAAGACTCATGTTCATCTTCTTCATCCCCAAAAGGAAGTTCCAGGTCTCCAACAGCTATAATAGAAGTGACTGCACAAAAGAAGGGAAAGTTAGAAGACAATCTAGCAAGAAAAAGGTAGAAGGACATGATTCAGGAATTTACCAATCACTTCTCCAACCTGGACAGCCTGACCTCCAATGTTCCTTGTCATAGAAGGATCTGATACAAATTGAGCAGATTGTTAGACATCATCACATAGGCAGAATGGGATAAATACAGACAGAATGGAGGAAAAAGAGGCAGAATTGGGAATCTACCTTCAATAACTTGAGCATTGATATCTTTAATGGTCTGCACCATGAATCCTTTGGCCTCTTCTCCTGCGAAAATGGTCCAAGAATCCCAGCTATCAAAAAGAACTTTTGTGGCAGGGCTTGAGGTAGACAGAACTTTGAACTTGGCTGACCACCAAGCATCAAACTCGGCAGAACTGTAAGAATTGGGCTCCCATGATGGATAGAGAGCACCCGCACTGTTGTTTATCTTGTTCACTGCACACCTGCAATCCTTGTGCACCTCCAAGTCGTCTGAATCTCTCCAGGAGGTGGCCCGGTTGCAGCTTCTGTAGGATTTAAGTGGAATGAGCTGAGGGCAGCCGAGTTGCCTTGCACAGAAGTTGGGGTGGTACACTTCTGCCCCCAAGTGATAGTTGGGAGGCTTCCCTCCTCCAAAGGGCAGGTCCCTTGGTAGTGTCTCGCTCAGGAACTTCTTCCTAAAGTCTATTCTGGCCACTTCTTCTTCTGGTTCCTTCTCGAACAATCTGAATCCAGGCTGGAAACAAGGATAGGTCCTTCTGATCACCACTTGCCACTAAGCTGCAGACCTCTTAGTACAGTGCCTGAAGAACATCAGGTACTCCTCAATTTAGCGCTTGGGCACTTCTGCCGACATCAGAGGAAGAACTAGAACTTGATCTTCAGGCAGAACTATATCTGGGAATCTCAATTCTGGGAAATAGACCTGCAGCCAGATCTGGATCATCCAGAATGCGCCATGAGCAGATAAATTCAGTGGATTCTCCAGGGTGGCAGTGTGCAGGTTCTTGTACAAGTGAGCTAGAACTGTAGGCCCAAGCCCTACATCAGTGTGGTTGTGTAGTGCTTCTGCCAAGTGCTTGTATTCAAGCAGAACTGTTGAGAAGCGATTTGGGAACACAAATTTGTTCAGCCAGTACATAAGGAACAACATGTGTTGTTGATCTTTATCTTTCTCTGTGCTGAAGTTCTTCAGATAATTTGAGAACGAGTAGTTCTGGTTGATTGTGGCCGGCGAGATGGTGAAGGGCTTTGCTAATTTTTCCTGGTTCTTCCTTCTGTGGTAATCACCAATTGCATCCACAAGTCTTCCATGAGGTCTGAACCCAAAAATCTGAGCCATGTCCAGCAGGGTAGGAGTCATAGGGCCCAGGCGGAAGTCAAAAGTGTTGCTGGCAGAATTCCAGAAACACAAAGCAGTAGCCAGAAGATTTTCATCCCTGTTGATGGACTGCTCGGACAGAAGAATTGAATCATAAATTCCTGCCCTTTTCCAGTGTGCTCCATACCTTGGAAGAAGCTTGTCAATCCAGTCTGCCCATTTCACGGAACTGTTTCTCACTTCACTGGATGGGAATGAACGGCTCAGATTCTTGCTAACCCAAGTACGAGAGGCCAGGGCAGAAGAACTCTGAAAACACAGAGGAGCCTCAGCATCTTCTTTGAATAGCTCAGCCATTTCAGCAGGAACAAGGCCAAACCAGTGAGAATTTCATAGAGTTGGCAATGGAAGAAAGGTTAGGGATTCTAGGGCTTAGATTGGAGTGACGGTGAAGTAGTCGATGTTGAGGTAGCGAGTTCGCATTTCAAGTTTCAAAATTTGAGAGAGAGAGAGAGAGAGAGAGAGAGAGAGAGAGAGAACAGACTGATTTTGGTTTTGGAAGAATTCAAATTGGCGCTTTAAATTTCGGCCTCTTATATTAATAAGAATGGCGCGGTTTGTTTGTACTAATTTGCGCACTGTTCGTATCATGCATTCTTGAATTGACTTGACTATAGATTTTTATTTTTATTTTGACAAAAACTTGACTATAGATTATGTACCAAGTTCCCCACCCAAAAAAAAATCTTCACATTTTTTATTTTTGTTTTTCACTCTTCACATTTGGTGACTACTTTTTCACTCTAGGACTTCACATTTTTACTAAAAAGTGATGTGTATTGAAATAAGAGAAACAAATGATGAATGCAAAGAATGAATATAACATAAGTTAAGTTTGAGGAGTTTGCTTATGGGGTTGGCTCTATTTATGTGGGCAGAGATTCGACCGATGAATATTTATGTAAACTCAATTGTTTGTACTTAAA